CCCCAAGACTTACACCCCCCACATGGGCTGGCCTGAACCCCAGCTCCCAGCTCTGGGGACACGGGCGGCGAGCGCTGGGCTGAATCTCCCTCCCTCCCTCCCTAGTGAGCAGAGCCCCTCTGTCTGCCCTAGGGGAGCCCGCCCTCTGGGCAGCAGCTGCCTGCAGACCCCTTCCCCCATGACCCCATGAGACATCTCACGGCAAACTGGCAGACGCTGCCAGACACAAAGATCCTTGTGCCAGCCCCTCGGTCAGGGCTCCTGTGCGCCCCAGCAGGGCCCCTGAGGGGATCGGGTGGTCTTCAGCCTCCGGGGGTCCGGTGCTGACCCACCAGCTCCCAGTGTCCAACTGCCGCATACTCGGGCAGAGCCGCCTCTCGCCTCTCGAGCCTGGCTGCTGGCGTCCCGGCCTCTGACGCCTCCTGGTGAAACTTGAGGCCTGGGGGGTGCAATGGACCCCACCCCAGACCCCGGGCAATTGCTCTGAGCAGTGACGGGCTGTGGGGAGGGTGGGCAGACACTGCAGTATCGGGCCCATGGCCCCTCCACGCGGCTCCACCCCGCAGACGCCCCCAAGCTCTCCCATCCCGTCCCCGTGCACAAACCCTCATCGCTGAGATGGGCCAGCAAGTCCCGACTCACTGGGGCAGCCGGGGAGGGAGGGCAGGCCACGTGCCCGGCCACCCCCGCCAGCCACTCGCGGCCCGTCCGAAGGACACCTGCAAAGGGCAGCTCTGGGTGGGCCCAGGAGAAGGACCCGGCGAGGCTGATCAGAGTCTTTGCGGCTCACCAAGACCCTGGATCATTATCCCGGCCCCCTCCCGCGCAGCCCCGCCTGGGTTGCCTACAGGTAATTCTCCATCAAAATTAAACCCAAGCAGCAGCTCAGGGTGATAAACAGCGCGGTGAGGAGACGGGGCAGGCGGCCTCCCCCCACCCCCCAACACCACCACTGCCCTGCGGCCCAGGGCCTGAGCTTTGGTTCACGGTCCCACAGCGCCGCCCGCCGCCCAGGTCCCGTAGCACAGCCCAAGAGGCCGGCACGGACGGCCCGGCCAGGGAGTGAGGGGGCGCCAGCAGACACAAGGGGCCTCCTCTCCCTCCAGTGCACAGGCCAACCGCCCTGTCCCTGCTCCCGCCAGGCCAGTCCCGCAGGGCCAAGCCAGGAGGCTTCCTGAGACCCCTCCGACCTGCGCGGGGTCGACCGTCCCTCCACCAGGGAGGCCCCTTCCCTTATGCGGGACTTTCTGGCCATCCAGGAGGTGGCAGGATGTGGCACTCCGGCCACCCAGAGGGACGGGAGAGGCCAAGGGTCACTTTCCCACCTGCGGGTGAGAAAGGCGTGAGCCAGGCCCGGGGCGGTAGGACAGTGGGCAGGGAGGTGGCCCCAGAGGGCCGCTAGCACAGAGCCAGGGGTGAGCCCTGAAAATCGCTGGGTGGGGACATCCCAAATCAATCAATCAACCCAGGCTCCCTTGGCCAGGGAGATAGTCCAGGGGGAGGAATCACAGGGAGCCGCAGCGGGTTTAAGCCCGGCACTGCACATGGCCCCCTGGACACCCGTTTTGAGAACAACCTTTTGAAGTTTTTGCCCCACGATCAGCCTCTGGTTCTATGGCACCTTCCAAGAGTTGCTTCCTGGGGCGGGAGTGATAGCACAGCGGGGAGGGCGTTTGCCTTGCACTCAGCCAACCCGGGTTCGATTCCCAGCATCCCATAGGGTCCCCCGAGCACCACCAGGAGTAATTCCTGAGTGCAGAGCCAGGAGGAACCCCTGAGCATCGCTGGGTGTGACCTAAAAATTAAAAAAAAAAAAACAAGAGTCGCTTCCTGCCTGGCTGCTGCTTTTCTGTGGAACATCCCTTTTCTGTGGAACATCCGCACAGCGTCTGGGTCTCCCCGGGGCGGGCACCATTGCTGCCTGAAGCCCGGGGGCCACAGAGCTTGGAGAGGAGAAAGGGCCCGGGCTTTGTGAGTGAGGGGCTGAGGAAGAGACGGTCCCGCATTATCACAACCCCCAGCTCATCACACAGTGCTCTCTGCTCATGGGGAAGAACCCGGCGCTTCGAGATCCCTCCACGCGGCCTGGCTATGCCCTGGTGGTGGTCTCCAGAGGGGACCCGTGCCTGCAGTGGCCACCGAGGGGACAGCGTCGGTCTCAGTAGCTCTGGAAACACCCCAGGCAGTTTGCACAGGGCCGGCTGACCCAAGCGTGGCACGGCGCTTCCCTGCTGGGCCTCTGAGCCGGCAGTGCCCACCCGGCCGCCCTGCCAGGTCCCGGTCAGCGGGAATCTGTCACCAGATTGGGCGCATCCCACCGGAGTCGCTCTGTTCTCTGCTGTGGCCCTAACGCCTGCCCCGCAGGGCCGCCCGGTTCTTCACGGATGCTGACACCCAGCCCTGGGCCTCCTGGTGGCTCACAGAGGACCGCCTCCGGGGCAGGGTGGCGCCACGTGGCCTGACCCCTCCCCTCTCTCTGGCTCTGAGCGCAGGTAAGGCAGCCTCCGGGGAGTCTTCCCTTTCCTTTGTCTCTGCTCCTCTGGCCGCTCCTTCAGGACAAACAGTCACCTCTTCCTCCTGGGGAAAGCCGGGCAGGCTCTGGCCTCTCCTAACGCTGCTTCTGCGTCTCCCGGCAGGACCCCTGGACTCCGCTAGGTTTTCTGGGTGGCAGCTGAGCTCTGCAGGTGGTGGTGCATGACGGGGCGGTCGGGCAGGGGTCTTGGTGGCACCAGCGCACAGCAGAGGGGCCGGGAAGTTTTCGATTCTTTGCCAAAGGAGACCTGGGAAACTGCCATCAAGACGCACCAGCAGGGCGACACACAAGGGCCGGGTTCTTCAGGGCAACTGTGTCTCCCCAACGCACTCTGGACCCTCTTTCCCACCTCCGGGGCTGGAAGGAACAGAGGGGCGGTGACCCCGCTCTTCCCTGCTGCGTGTCCACTCCCCTCAAAGCGAGCGAGTCTCTGCACGTCTACACACGGCAGCCTTCAGCCAGTGGCACAAAATGGCTTTAGTGTGCAGTCATGTCACGAAGTGGCAAGATGACTTCGGTCATGCCAAAATACGTATTAGCCTGAAGGCCAAGGTTTCAAAATATGTATAGACCCCCCCCCACACACACACACACACACACACAAGTCGTAGCAGAGCAAGCAGAGAGTACCTGGCCGTCGTGTTGCGCTTGGGGAAAGGGTCCCAACGTGACTCACGGTTGGCACGCAACTAGCACCGACCACACGGGAGCAGCTCTGGGCCTTCCCACCTCGAAGCTCTGCCCCGGTCCACCCACCCCCTCCCCACTCACACACATTCACCACTAAAGGGAAAATGCCTTCAGGAAAAGGAAATTTAGGGAGAAATAAACCCCCAAACTTGAAAAGCAGCAGCAGCTCTTAACTATAGTAAAGCAAACTTGATTCAGGGATCTCTCTGCATCAACTCAAAACAAGAGTATACATTAAAACATGATCTTCTGCCCCCAAAGCTGTCACTTTGGTCACTCCTTTCAGCTCTTTCTATTAGAATGAAGGTCTCAGCTCGTCATCAGGCTTTACTTTATACCACAACTGGAATTAGATAGCTGAGAAAATTGTTAAGTATTTTTATTTCACATTAATGTGACATCTTATTATTTCAGTTCTCCTTCGGAGAAGCTGGCAGGCTCCCAAAAGTATCCTGCACGCACGGCAGAGTCTGGCAAACTCCCCGTGGCATCCCCAATGTGCCAAATACCAGTAACAATGATGGGTCTCATTCTCCTAACCCTGAAAGAGCATTGAAATGGCTCTTTTAAAATCTCAGGGCTGGGCTGGAGCGATAGCACAGCGGGTAGGGTGTGTGCCTTGCACGCGGCCGACCAGGGTTCGATCCCCAGCATCCCATATGGTCCCCCAAGCACTGCCAGGAGTAATTCCTGAGTGCAGAGCCAGGAATAACCCCTGAGCATCACTGGGTGTGACCCAAAAAGCAAAAAAATAAATAAATAAAATAAAATCTCAGGGCTAGGAAGAAGGAGACGTTACTGGTGCCTGCTCGAGGCAATCGACGAACAACAGGATGATCCTGATCGTGATTTTTATTTCAAGCAAATAAAAGTGTGCCTAGGTGCTGAAAATAGGGGTGTGAATTCTCGTAGAGGACTGGTACTTTTAGGAGTGAAATAGGTATTCATCTCTGTATCTGAAAAGAAACAGATAACGAGTCGCCGCTTACTCTGCACTCCTCACACTTTGTTCTGTGGGCCTGGCCGGCCTCCTTTCCTCCCATTGACCTTAGCTGCAAGAGCTCCCCCAGACAGTGCGGTCACTGATTTGCAGGTTTCTGACTTAGAAACCAACTCCCTCCGTGCATTTTCCCCATTCTCTCCGAGTGATTTCTATTTACTCACTTTGGAATTTGCATAATATTTTCTATTTTCGGAAAACTTTTGGAACCCTCAAGGCTTGATATACTGCCTGTTCCCCACGTATATACATACACACACACGTATATACACACGTGTATATTCTTATATCTAAGAATATGCCTGCTTAAAGGGCGTTATGTGCACGTTCGTGCCCCAAATGACATAAATCTTATCGCCAGTTTGTCTCCCTGGTCTAAGGCTAAGGCTCGCTAAAATGCTGATGACGCGGCTCTCGGCCACAGGTCCTGGGCAGCGCCCGGCACAGCGGGGTCTGAGGACGCACACTCGGGTGCCGGGAGCCGGCGGCAACGGGGCCGGGCGGGGGCCGGGCGGGTGCGGCCCCGCGACCACCCCGAGGCCCACCACGAAAGGTCCGGCTCCACCTAGAGCCGAGCATCCCCGAGCATCCCCGAGCATCCCCGCAGCACTGCGTCCCGCGGCCGAGGCAGGTGAGACGCTCCCATTGGCGCGCAGCCGCGTCCATCACCCCCTCAACAGCCGGCGCCTGGCCCCGCCCCCGCCTCCCGGCCAATGGAGAGGGACGCCGGTGGGGGCGGGGCTTCTCCTCGGCCAATGGGGCGGCCCCGCGCCTGGCCCCGCCCCCCGGCGCGCGGCTGGAAGATGGCGGCGGAGCTGGCGCTGCTGGAGCGGTGGCTGGGGCTGCGCGCGCGCGCGGCGGCGGGGCCCGGCGGCCGGGTGAGGGGGTCGGGGGCGGGGGCGAGGGGGCAGGGAGCCGGGGGGGGGGGGTGCGGGGAGGAGGGACCCCGGGGTACAGGGAGGAGGACCCGGGCCCGGGGGCGGGGAGGAGGGACCCAGGCCCAGGTGCAGGGAGGAGGGACCCAGGCCCAGGTGCAGGAGGAGGGACCCGAGATGCAGGGAGGAGGGACCCGGCCCAGGTGCAGGGAGGAGGGACCCGGCCCAGGTGCAGGGAGGAGGGACCCGAGATGCAGGGAGGAGGGACCCAGGCCCAGGTGCAGGGAGGAGGGACCCAGGCCCAGGTGCAGGGAGGAGGGGCCCAGGCCCAGGTGCAGGGAGGAGGGACCCAGGCCCAGGTGCAGGGAGGAGGGACCCAGGCCCAGGTGCAGGGAGGAGGGACCCGGCCCAGGTGCAGGAGGAGGGACCCGAGATGCAGGGAGGAGGGACCCAGGCCCAGATGCAGGGAGGAGGGACCCAGGCCCAGATGCAGGGAGGAGGGACCCAGGCCCAGGTGCAGGGAGGAGGGACCCGAGATGCAGGGAGGAGGGACCCGAGATGCAGGGAGGAGGGACCCGAGATGCAGGGAGGAGGGACCCAGGCCCAGGTGCAGGGAGGAGGGACCCAGCCGGGTGCGGGGAGGAGGCAGCTGCCTCCTTAGGGCGCCTGAGCCTTGTGTCCAGACCCGTCATTACCCCCCCCCCCCATGCCATCTGGGCAGTGATGCAGGGTCCCCCCCACCCAGGAGATCCCAGCACTGAGGGAACAGCCACTGCCGATTCAGGGGGGTTCCCAGGCCTCCAGGAAGCCCCTTAGGGAGCCCGAGGTGGGCAGGGGCAGGGCTGGGACAGCCACTGACCCCGGGCCCCAGGCTGTGTTCTGTCTCTGGGAGGACAGGACGCGGGTGGGCCAAGAGAGCAGCCGGGCTGGGCTCAGCCCTCCTGGGAGCCGGCCGGTTCCTCGGGCTCTCCTCACTGGCCAGTGTCCAGCCCACCCCAGCCAGTGAGGCCCAGGGAAGGAGCCAGCCTGGCCAGGGAGTCCGTCCTTGGTCCCCAGGTGGGTGGTCACCGCGGTCAGCGTCCACCGCTGCTGGGCTACTGCCCACCTTTCGCTCCGGAGTGCTGCGGTCCCCAGTGGGCGGCTCCCCTGACCCCCGTGTCCGCCCCAGGCACCCGTGCTGCAGACCCAGGACGGCCCCAGCCTGCAGGGCCTGAGCACCATCGCGGCTCACCTGGTGAGGCAGGCCGACCAGGAGCACCTGCTGGGGAGCACCGCCGAGGAGAAGGCCCTGGTGCAGCAGTGGCTGGAGTACAGGGTCACGCGCCTCCAGAGCCACGCCAGCAAGGAGGACGCCCGGGCGCTGCTGAAGGTACCGCCTCGCGTGGCCACATGGCCAGCACGGCTCCGACCCCCCACCCTGCACAGCTCTGGCCCCTGCTGCCCCCACAGCCCCAGGTGGCTTCCTCGGTCCATTCTGGGGTCTCCACCGCACACCGTGTCCCTCCCAAGAGGCAGCCGGGCGCCCCACGGTGACTCCGAGGACAGCTCAGAGCCACAGACCCCCCTGATGTCAGACACGGCCAGGCAGGATCAGCTCATCCATGACTGCAGGGGTGAAGCAGGGAGCAGAGCTTCTTTCCTAAATGAAAGCTGACAGGTCGGGGGTCAGGCGAGGCAGACAGGGGCAGGGCATTTGCCTTCCACACGCCCAACCCAGGGTGGATCCCCGGAATCCCAAATGGTCCCCCAGGCACTGCCAGGAATGACCCCTGAGCATCCCTTTTTTTGGGTCCCACCCAGCAATCCTCAGGGGTTCCTCCTGGCTCTGCACTCAGCAATCACTCCTGGTGGTGCTCAGGGGACCCTATGGGATCCCGGGGATCGAACCCGGGTCAGCCGCGTGCAAGGCAAACGCCCTCCCTGCCCTGAGCATCCTTGATGTGACCCAAACACTCAGACAAATCGCCAGGTTGAGGGGCCAGGCAGCAGCACTGAGGGTGGGCGTGTGCATGGGTGAGCCGGGTTCCATCCTGGCAGCCCAGATGGTCCCTGAGCACTGAAGTGTGGCCCCCGAAACGACCAAAGATGCTTAAAGATGGAGCCGGAGGCCCCATCACTGCCACACCCTGAAACTGCGATTCTGGGGGCCCCTCCACCGCTGCAGCCAGGCCAGCCCTCCCCGAGTCCACGCCCATCCCTGCCTGAGTGGCCTCAGAGCAAACCCCGCCCTCCCGGCTGTGGCCTCCATCCCCGCGCTGCCGCTGCCCCTGCCCGTTTCCTTGCCACACTCTTTGTCTCTGCTCAGGCCTGGGAGGTCATGCCAGGATTTGAGTTTGGTTCAGGTCCCGTTTCCCTGAACAGGCTGCAGTTGCGAGTCGAGGGGCTGACCCTTGCAGGGCCAGAGCGCTGGCACCGCGGGTGGGCTTGGCCTGGCACACGGTCCGTGCGGGTTCATCCCTGACTCCCCCATATGGTCCTGAGTCCCGCCAGGCGTGGCCCAGACGCAAAAGAAGGGCCTATGGTTCCGGACCGGGCAGGGCCGGCACGCTGTCCCCGAGCCTGAGCTGTGTCCGGCCTCTGCGAGTCCTGCGTGAGCGGGAAGGCTGCCGGGGTGGGGAACGCCCGCACACTGCTGAGAAGCCACGCAGCCTCGCGCTGCCAGGGCTCGTGGAGGCGTGGCTCCTTCCCGAGCACCTTCCCGAGGAGGGCCAGCCCCTGACAGCCAGTGCAGGGGCCCCTGGGGACGTGGGGGCCCGGTGCCGCTGACCAGCACCCTGGGGGCCCATGCACTGCTTAGATGAGACTGGGCTGGCCTCTGCTCCTCCTGCTGGACGCGACCCCAGGGAAAGGTCAGGGTGGGCCTGATGGGGAAACGCTCCCCGGTGTGACCCCGTGCCTCCCGCTGTCGGGACCCGCCCCCTCCCGCCATGGAGTAAAGCAAGGGGCATGTATGCGGGTCTGGGCAGGCCAGCCCTGCCGTGGTCGGTGATCCCCACACCCCCCGCATGTGTTCCAGGACCTGAACGCCTACCTGGAGGACAAGGCCTACGTCACGGGACACCGCCTCACGCTGGCCGACGCCCTGCTCTACTACGGGCTGCACCGCTTCATCGTGGGTACCGGGTGCGGGGTCCCCTGTCCCTCTGGGCCGCCCCCCCCCCGAGGTTGGTGGCTGTCGGCAGCCCCTGAAAATGCCACAGGGCCTGGGGAGATGGCTCAGTGGGGGCTGGGGGCAGGCTGGCCTTCAGGGGCCCCTCAGGGTCCCTCTGAGCCAGGTCAGGGCCCGGCACTGTCAGGTAAAGCCCAGAAGCCCAAGCTCCGATGTGGCTCTGGACGGGGTCAGCACAGCCGCCCCTGATGTGTCTGCCAGGTGGAGCTGACCGTCCAGGAGAAGGAGAAGTACCTCAACGTGTCGCGCTGGTTCTGCCACGTCCAGCACTGCCCAGGCCTGCGGCAGAACCTGCCCGCCGTGGTGTTCGTCAGGAACAGGCTGTACGCGCCCGTCCACTAGAGCCCCGGAGGCCGCTGGCGTGCCGCCCACTGTCCCGTTGCTGGCCCGGATGTCCGTGGCAGACCAGGCTGCTGGAGACAGCGCGTCAGCCAGTAACGGTTGCAGTGACCAGTGACTTTCTCTCCCAGGGCCCCCCGGCCCCAGCCCCGTCCCCGACACACACTTGCCCTGGGCACGGGGACGGGCGGGCGTGGGTATTTATGTGAGCAGTAAATGTGATTGAAACCCCAGCCTGCAGCCTGCGTTCCGTCGGTCGGGGGTCCGGGGCAGGGGCACCTTCCTGCTTCCCCCATCCTGGGCACAGAGGTGCTGTGGCCAGGGAGGGGCAGAAGGGACAGCATTTCCCTCACACGCAGCCGACCCGAGTCCAGTCCCCACACTGCAGCCGCCCAGCCTGCCAGGAGTGGGCCCTGAGCAGTGGGGTATGACCCCCAAAGTCAGAAATGTAAAGAATATACACACATGCATGTCGGTGCATGCATGTGTGTGTGCACGCGTGTGAATACGGGCCCCGAGCCCCGGCCAGGTTGCGGGATGTGTCCTGGCCACCACTGGGAGAGGAGGAAGGACAGTGTCCGCCCAGCCCGGCCCCGCTCCGGCCGGTGCTGAGAGCGGTTGCCTGGGACCTGAAGCAAGTTGTAGGATGCGCGAGTGACCGCAGAGCTCCGTGCCCGAGGAGGGCTTGGCTGGGTCTGCCCGACCCCTTGGCAGTGGCACCTGGCGCCGCCATCACAGGGAGTGAGAATTAGTTGTCAGGGACCCAGTGCCCACGGCCCTGGAGAGCAGGCGCTCAGAGCGGGGTTCCGCAGAACCTGATGGGGCCCAGTCAGTGACAGTGCCTCCAGGGAACTCTCCCCTTCTTGCCCGAATGCTGAGCAGGCACAGAGAGAGCCGTGCACTTGCGCCGGGTCACACAGCCAGGATGTTTATCCCAGAGTCGGGCTCGGAGCTAACCAGGCCGCCACTTTGCCAGAGTGCACGTCGGGTTCTGCTCGATCCCGGCCCAGACAAAGACATCGCAGAAGACGCACGAGCTGTGGGGGCACGGCGGGCAATGCCAACCCACCCACCCGCCCGCGATAGCCCAGCAGGGAGCAGGGGCCTCACCTGGAGAGACGCCTTGAGCTGGGGTGCCGGCCTCAGCGCACCACCAAGTCACGGGGCCCACGGCTGCACCCACCACGCACGGGCCCGCAGCAGGGGAGCTGGGTGGGAGCTGGGCCGGAGCCGGGCGGTGCAGCTGGCGGTCTCGGTACACCTTCCCGGCAGGCGCCCCCACGCTCAGCCTGCAAGTGGCTGCCCTTCCTGCCACCCCCACGCCAGAGCCCGGGCTGGAACCCACGGCCCAGCGTCTAGCCCGGCTGCCAGGAACAACCCTGGCTGGAGGCAGAGAAAAGAGAGCGAGAGAGTGGGGGCAGGACTCAGACGTGTCTGGCCCCGTGTCCAGAGACAGGAAGGGCCCCTTGCGTATCTCCGCATGACCGAGCCTTTGAGAGCGTTTCCCTGCTCACCTCGCCGGGCCCGAGTGCGGGTCTGGCTTCCTGCCCCGTGGCAGTCGATCTTGCTGCTTAATTAGCGCGCGTGTCCCTGCGGGTCCCAGGCACTAAATTCCGGAGCCCCCGCCTGAGCACGCTGCTGCATCTCTGGCCGGCTTAATTGGAGCCGTGATTTACGGAAGCCGAGCTCCACGCCTAACTCTTCCTGCTGCTCCGGGCGAATTTTATTGCAAAAGCAATGGTGAGGAGGGTGCTCTCGTATATCTCCCTGCCGGCCAACGGGGCCCAGGGGCTTCGCTGTCCCCTGCGCCCGGTCTCCTAGCCGGATTTATAACCCCGGGAGCCGGGCTCGTGGCTGCACCCAGGCCCGGCAGAGATGAGGGATGGTCCCGGCAGGCCTGGTGACTTGTTGCTGGGCTGATACTCCCCAAGGGCTCAGCGTTTGTTCCCCTCCTGCCGGAGGTGCCAACAGACGTGAGCTGCTCCCTCGCCCAGAGACCCCTCTCACTCCAGGGAGGCCCAAGGCGGCAGGTGGGCGGGGCCAGGCTGGTGCTGTCCGCTGAGGACGGGAACCTGAGCAGCGGGACTTTGCCCGCCCACCCAGGTCACCCACCGGCCCACACAGACCACGGGTCTGGCTCACCACGTCTGCTGAGCGTCACCTGCCCTTCCGAATGTCATCCGCCGGCAGCCCCGTCTGGCCAGTTAAGCTCGAAATGCAAAAGCCACCAACTGACTCGCCAAGGCCAAGTCTGAGGAGAGATCGCAGCTTCTGTGTGGGCGACAGGGCCCCACGGCTGCCGAGTCGCGTTCATCAATTCCTGTTTTCCCGCCAGGGAGGCCGCCCTGAGTCCTGTGACCCACGCAGACACGCACAGGCATGGACACGCACACACACTCACACGGCATATGCAGGGACACGCGTGCACAAGCACATACACACGAAGCACATGCACGCACAGACAGTGCACGTACACATGAAAGCAGATGCGTGTGCATGAAAGACATGAGCACACGCACAGTAAAGCACACGCATGCACAGACACATACACACGCATGTACACGAGAGCACTGGGTCTCAGGCCTCGGTTGCCAGCTGGGATTCCCCTGACACAGTCCACTGGGCCCACCTGATCTGTTTCCCGCCAGCTAAGGGCAGCCGCCCTCACCCCCAGACTCCACCTTCTTTGCTGTTTTGCACACCCGAGCCCGGGCTGGCGCCCAGCCGGCCCCACGGCCCACAGGGGTCTCCCTCCCCCGCATCCTGTCGGTGACCAGCGGGTCCTCCAGAAACTGTGGCTGCACCAGCAGCCTCGGTGGCGCCCGTGGGCAGGAAGACTCAGCCCCAGGTGGTCGGGGCCACCCCCTGGAGGCCCTCAGGCCCAGGGCAGCTGCCCCCCACCCAGCCTGCCCCCGAACCCTGTCCCAGACCTTCTTCTCCCCCACCGCCCCAGCGTCTTCCTTTTTAAAACCCCTTCCAGAACAGCTTTCCTCGAGGAAGCTCCGGACGTGGTTTTGATCAAAAAAATAAACAAACTCCGCTGCCCTGGATATTACGCTGCTTCCCCACGAGTGTGTGCTGAGGAGTTTTTCCAGTGTGACCTCAGTGTGCGTGCAACGACTCATCTTCATCCGTCTTTCCTAATTTTCCTAGGCTCCCACGGAGCGCATGATTTGCCCGGAAGTCAGAGCCTGGCCTCGACTAACCGCACGTGTTCTCCAGCCTCAAGCGCCATGACTCCCAGCCAGCACTCTAGTGAGGAGAACCCTTATCACACCAGGGTTACAGGGTGGGCAAAGGTCTCGTAGCACGTGGACTGGAGGGAGAACACAGAAGTCCTCAGTCACCCTATTTCTGAAGACCTTTATTTTTGGTTTGGGAGCCACGGCTGGTGGCGACCAACTCTCCAACTCCCGGATCCACACCTTGTCTCTCTGGAGGGAGGGGACAGGTGCAGGTGTGAGATCAGGAAGGTGTCCGGTGGGCCTTTCGCCTTTAGAGCTATTCAAACCGTGATTGGGCCAAGGACACATAAAAGGCACGCGCTGTAACAGTGACTAGAAATAAACTCCCCTGGATACAAAGTAAAGGTAAAGGCAAAGGTAAAGGTAAAGGCCCTCCCGTTGATCGTCGATTTGCTCGAGCGGGCCCAGTAACGTCTCCATTGGAGACTTTGTTGTTACTGTGTCTGGCATATCGAATACTCTCGGTAGCTTGCCGGGCTCTCCGAGTGGATACAAAGTAAAGGAAGCAAACCAAGGACCAAGTATCAATGTGTACATTGTATTCAACATATCAATTGTATCAATGTCAACATCCTGGTTGTGATCCCGGCATTCACACAGGGACCCCACAGATCTGCAAAGAGTCTGTCTCCCGGCTGCTCCGGGAACAGGCTCCATAAACTCCTTAGGAGGCGAGAGAGGCTCCTCCCTGCGAACCGGGAGCACCGCCAGCCACCCTGCCCCGAGTGCCACCCTCCAGCCCCTCCGGATGTGGTGTGTGTGTGTGTGTGTGTGTGTGTGTGTGTGTGTGTGTGTGTGTATGTTGAGAAGTGCGAAGGCAGGGCCACGGCCGGTGGGTCAGTGTGTAGAAGGCCACTTGGCCTGCTGCTCCTGAGCGTCTCCAGCCCCGCTGACCTGGGCACGGCCCCCTGGGCCCTGCCCTCTCACCACCAGGCTGGGAGAATGAAAGACCCGTAACTACGCCCGTGGGGGAGCATTTCCTAAACTGCAAAGAGCGAACCAAGAACGTGCAAAGGGACCAGCGGAGAGCGCACAGTGGGGGAGGGAGCCCGCCTTGCTGTCCACCCGGGGCCTCCCGGCACCCCGGACAGTCCACGAGCACCCCAGGAGTGATCCCTGAGCGCAGAGCCAGGAGTAAGGCCTGGGCATCACCAGGTGTGACTCAAAACCTTTTAAAAATAGGTGAAGAATCTGAGCGGTTGCAAGACACAGAGAGCGACTGGAGGAGAGAAGGCTCAGCGAATGCCTTAAGGGACCCGAGAAGTACTGTAACCTGCACCAGCACTTGCTGCAGGCGGGCGCGGTGCAACCCGAACCGTCACCGCCTCCTAAAGGGATGCAGTGCTGCCGCTGGGTGTTTAACTGCACCGGGACAAGGAGCGGCAGGCCAATGCAAGCATCAGAACTGGCTCCGGTTCCGTCCGGTTCCAAAGGTTTAACTGCTGCACCAGAGTTTCTTCTGCCACTTCCAACCATCAGAGCGAGGGGAGGGAGCGGCCAGCCCGGAGCGGTCACGTGACGGCACTGCAGGTCACGCCCCCCGCTCGGGGCCCGGAGTCCCCCGCTGGGCGGGAGCCTGGCTTACACTTCCGCCCCTAACCGGCATGGCGGCCCCGGCGTCACGCGCCCTCACTCCGAGACGCGGCGGCCGGCGCCCTCGTGACGTCCAAGGCCCGCGCCCGGGCCGCGGGGGCGGGGCCTGCGGGATGAGTGGCGGCGGCAGCGGCGGCGCCGAGACCCCCGGGGCTGCAGAGGCGGCCTCGGGCGCGGGGGGTCCGCGCAGGGACGGGCCGGCGCACCTGGTCATCAAGGGTGCGGTGTCCGCGCGGGCGGGAGCGGGCGGGGGACTGGGCCGCCCTGCAGGGACCCCCGGGACCCCCAGCCCGGGCTCGGCCGCCCTGCAAGGACCCCCCCGGGACCCCCAGCCTGGGCTCGGCCGCCCTGCAGAGACACCCCCGGGACCCCCAGCCTGGGCTCGGCCGCCCTGCAGAGACACCCCCGGGACCCCCAGCCGGGCTCGGCTGCCCTGCAGGGACCCCCCGGGACCCCCAGCCCGGGCTCGGCTGCCCTGCAGGGACCCCGGGACCTGGAGGCTGGGCCCCATCCTGCTGCGCCCAGCCCTGGGAACCGGGGTGCCCCTGGGTGGCAGTTCCTTCCTTTGTCCGTGTTTCTGTGCCCATCACCCACAGTGGGGCCGCCTTCTGGAACCCCTGGCCACCGTGGGCTGGCTGTCACCGAGGCTCATGTGACTGCTAGGCCAGGGGGTGTGGGGCCGCTGACCCATCCGTAGGGACGTGGACAGGCTGAAACCCACACTCCCGGGGCATCTGAACTAGAACTGCCCCAGGGACCCTAGCCTCACCCAGACCCCCAGACCCCCACATCCACACTGACCCGCACCCCCTCTGTCCCACAGACATCGGGGAGATCCATTCCCGACTGCTGGACCACAGGCCCGTCATCCAGGGAGAAACCCGCTACTTCCTGAAGGAGTTTGAGGTGAGTGGGGAACGCGCCCTGTGCAGCACTGCCCGGGGGCTCCTGCTGACGGGTCACACACACTCTCATGCACACACCCCTGCACACGCTCACACAGCGTCATGCACACGCATGCTCTCATGCACACACCCGTGCTCATGCTCACACAACCTCACACACAGGCTTTCATGCACACACTCCTGCAGACGCTCACACAGCTTCTAGCATACACACTCATGCACACACAGGCTCTCACACAGACTCTTGCACACACACGCTCATGCACACACCCGTGCACACACTCACACAGCTTCTTGCACACACTTGTGTGTTCACATGTTCACACACCTCAGGGCTGTCTCCAGTGGCGCCAGTGTGTCTGTGGCTAGGCCAGAGGCTGGAGCAGCAACAAGTATCCTGGGTGCGCGGCACTGTTGTTTGTGGCTGGGTCCCTCCCACCCTCAGGGGCCCGCAGGCTGCCCAGTGACTCCCGTGGTCAGTGCTCATGCCTGGGGCATGGAGGGGGCAGTGCTCAGGAAGGACCTGAGTGTTTGGAAGAGCACCATGGGGGTGTGGAGCCTCCCTTCCTGATGAGCCTACGGGAGGGGGGGGGTCTGTGTCTCCCACACCCTGGGGCATCAGTGCCCCCCTCTCGTCGCCTCTGGGGGCTGGGGTCATGTGCTCTCGGAGACGGGCAGGAGTGAGGCAGCCCCGGGGAGGGGGGCGTCTTCTGAGCCCCCGTGCCAGCCCTGTTGGTGGACCCCAACACATGGGGGGGCTCCTGTTCGTCTGTCTCCCGTCCATCCAGGCACCAACTGCCTACAGGTCTGAGCCAGACCTACTTTGACCTCACGTGTCTCCTCTGATCTCCTGGGTGCCCTCTGTGACCTCCCCTTTGTCCTCTTGGATCCTCCAAGATCCCTGTGACCCTGCTTGGATCTCCTGAGATCCCCGTGCCCCTGCTGGGATCCCCCAAGATCCCCGTGCCCCTGTGGGGATTTCCCCGAGATCCCCATGACCCTGCTGGGATTCCCCAAGATCCCCGTGACCCTGCTGGGATCCCCTGAGATCCACTGGGATCCCCAAAAAGCTCCGTGACCCTGCTGGGATTCTCCAAGATCCCCGTGGCCCTGCTGGGATTCCCCGAGATCCCCGTGACCCTGCTGGGATCCCCCGAGATCCCCGTGACCCTGCTGGGATCCCCCGAGATCCCCGTGACCCTGCTGGAGTCCCCTGAGAGACCTGTGACCCTGCTGGGATCCCCCAAGAGCTCTGTGACCTTGCTGGGATCCCCAAGATCCCCATGACCCTGCTGGGATCCCCTGAGATCACCATGACCCTGCTGGGATCCCCCAAGATCCCTGTGACCCTGCTGGGGTCCCCTGAGAGACCTGTGACTCTGCTGGGATCCCCCGAGAGCTCTGTGACTGCTTGGATCCTCGAGATCCCCGTGACCCTGCTGGGATTCCCCAAGATCCCCGTGATCCTGCCTGGACCCCCCGAAATCCCCATGACCCTGCTGGGATCCCCGAAATCCCCGTGGCCCTGCTGGGATTCCCCAAGATCCCTGTGACCCTGCTGGGATTCCCCGAGATCCCCATGACCCTGCTGGGATCCCCCAAGATCCCCATGACCCTGCTGGGATTCCCCAAGATCCCTGTGACCCTGCTGGGATTCCCCGAGATCCCCATGACCCTGCTGGGATCCCCCAAGATCCCCATGACCCTGTTGGGATCCCCCAAGATCCCCATGACCCTGCTGGGGTCCCCCGAGAGCTCTGTGACCCTGCTGGGATCCCCAAGGTCCCCATGACCCTGCTGGGATCCCCTGAGATCCCCATGACCCTGCTGGGATCCCCCAAGATCCCCGTGACCCTGCTGGGGTCCCCTGAGAGACCTGTGACCCTGCTGGGATCCCCCGAGAGCTCTATGACCTTCTGGGATCCCCAAGATCCCCATGACCCTGCTGGGATCCCCCAAGATCCCCGTGGCCCTGCTGGGATCCCCCGAGAGCTCTATGACCTTCTGGGATCCCCAAGATCCCCATGATCCTGCTGGGATCCCCCAAGATCCCCGTGATCCTGCCTGGATCCCCGAAATCCCCATGACCCTGCTGGGATCCCCGAAATCCCCGTGGCCTGCTGGGGTCCCCCGAGAGCCCCGTGCTGCGAGGCCCCGGGAGGCACGAGTGCCGGTGCTGAGGCGTGCCCTGCCCGGTGCAGGAGAAGCGCGGCCTGCGGGAGCTGCGCGCCCTGGAGAAGCTGCGGAGCGTCACCGGGGAGACGAGCGAGCAGACGCTGCCCACCTGCGCCGACGCGCTGCGGGACCTGGGCCCGGTGCTCCAGAGACGTGAGCGCCGGGGGACGGGGGGCTGGGGAGGGGGCCGTGACGGGGCGGGGGGGGCGAGCGGCACCAGGGTCAGAGGGGCGGCCGGGGGTGGGGGAGCTGCCGGGGGTGCAGCTGAGCCTGTTCCGCCCACGCAGTGGCGGCAGCATCGGAGGCTGTGGGCAGTCTGCAGCGGAGGGAGCAGGAGTGGAGGAGGGTGAGTGTCCCCCCCAGGGCCAGGTCGGGGCCTCGGGTCACCCCTCCCTCCCCACCGCCCAAAAAACCAAAACCACTTCACGTGCAGTATTGCCCCCGTTTTATTCATCGTTCTGCTCTGAAGCGTGCGCACGCAGACGGATGACAGGCGGTGCGGACACGCGGCCATGGCCAGCCTCGAGCTGAGACCAGGACAGCGGGCCATGTGCCCACCGGCCACACGGGCCAGTGGCCAGCGTGCGAGCAGCGTGGGGCAGGGCGGGAGGGAGCGGGGGCCGCAGAGGGGAGCCTCCCTGGGCCCCTGCGTACGCACAGTGATGGGGCTCAGGCGTCCCCCCGCCTGGGCTGCCATGGAGGCCGCGGGTCACTCACACTGGCCGTCAGCAGGTGCAGCAGGAGTGCTCCTCGGCCCGCGAGCAGCGGCAGGCCCAGCGGCTGGACGAGCTGCGGCAGGAGCAGCGCGGCCGGGAGGCGGCAGTGGACGAGGAGCACCAGCGCGCCCGGGCCCGGCTGCAGGCACAGTACGCACGCATGGAGCAGGAGCTCGGCAGGTTCGCCGCCTTCTAGAGGTCCCCCAGAGACGCGGGGACCCCGGGCGCCCGCCCACAGTGACCCGGCTAGGGCCTGCTGCAGTCGGCCCAGCCCGGCTCCCGGCTCCTCGGCAGGAAGGACCAGGGCTTGTATGCCCCCTCCCTCCCCTCCCGGAGTCCCTGCGGGCGGGACTGTGTGGCCGCTCGCGACTCCACGCGTGTGGGGGTGATTAAAGCTGGCGGGAGCTGAGCTGTGTGTGTGCTGGCCTTCTCTGCCCGCTGCCGAGGCTGGACGCGGCTGGGACCTGAGTCCGGAAAGGTCCACGTAGAGGGTGGTGCCGGCCTGGACGTGGCCCTTGCCCCAGGAGTCTGGGAATACTCCTGTTGGGCCCGGGGGTATCGGGCAGGGCCCACAATGAGCGCCCCCCACGCCAGCGTCTGTGAGTCAGGGGCCAGGGAGCCCGGGGCTTTGGGGCCAGCCCGGCTGTCCCTGCCTGGCGGAAGCAGCTGGTGTCTGTGCCTGTGTCTGGGGGCAGCGGGACGTCCCGATCCTGCTCCCGTGCCCACGTGCCGAGCCCAGGCTGGCCGTGTCTGGTGGCTGCCCGCCCTGGAGCTCACGATATCGTGTTGGCTTCTCCCACTGCCTTGGTGCTTTGCCGCCAGGGCCGGGCGGGTGAGGGTCGCTTTCCCACGCCCCGAATCTCCTCTGCGGTCCCAGCGGCTGTCCCAGCGGCTACATTTCTGGCATCGGTTTGGAAGCGACTACTCTGCCAGCCTGCCAGCCTGTGGCATGCACCTCAGCTGCACTGAGAAGGCGGGCCCAGGGGGCACCTCACTCAAGCCCAGCGTTTCCGCCTGAACTTTCATCTTCATTGCCGCACTGCTGGGTCCTTTACCTGCTGGTTCTGGGGGTGGAAACCCCGTTTGATCTTTGGAAAGGGTGTGTGTGTGTGTGTGTGTGTGTGTGTGTGTGTGTGTGTGTGTGTTATAAAACCCAAGGTCCTGGGGCCGGAGAGATGGCGCAAAGATTAGGGCACTTGCCTTGTACGCAGCTTACCCAGGTTTGATCTCCTGCACCCCAGAGTGTCCCCTGAGCCTGGCAGGAGAGATCCCTGAGTCAGAAGTGAATAAGCCCTGAGCACAGAGCCAGGAGTGGGCCCCGAGCACAGAGCCGGGAACGACACCAAAACAAAACAAGGTCCTGCCTTTGCTTCTCCTGAAACCTGGGTCAGTGCCAGGATTCAGGGTCTTGTCATCTGCACCCTGAAGGTTCATCGCTGGATGCTGGTCTCCACCTGCCTTCACGTGACGCTCTCCATGCCTGGGACCCTCCCTTAACAGACAAGCTTGAAGCCCCCAGTGGGTACCCTGCAGGATGGACCCGGGTCCTGGCGAGTGTCCAGGCATGCCTGCGTCATGAGGAATCGAGTCTCCATGTCAGACCACACCCGTGGGCTTCTCTGCTTTTGGGCCAAAAACTGCGTCTCAAGATGAAAATGCCTGGAGGAAATTGTAGCCCTGAGCTCAGTCAGGATTGTTGGGTTGTTTGGGTAACATCGGGGGTCATGGAAACTTTTCCTAGTGTGTTTCTGACCCTTCCCAAGGTTTCCCTGGCCATCAGCTCTGAGCCCCTGGGCAGTCTCTGCCAACAGGGTGTGATGCCAGCGTACACAGCACCGAATGCCGAGGTGCTGCCGGCCGGGGGCCGCTTCCCCGTGCTCTTCAGGAGCCCGGAGCCAGCTGCTCCGTATCAGGAGCCGTGATACTCGCCCGCACCAGCAGGTGTCACTGTGGCCGCGGCCCTGAGAGCTGCCCCGAGTGTCCAGGCTGGCACCAGGCAGGAGGAGTCATAGGTGCTGCAGGCTCAGGAGCCCCTTGGGAGTCACTCTTGGACCCTCGGTCTCCTTGTGTCTGCTGTGGGGACGGCCAGGTGGCTGCTGGGGCGCGGCCCTGCCTGGACCCAGCCAAGGTCAGCGTGGCCTGACCCGCGTCTCCCCAGGGTGCTGGGGACCCAGCCCAGGACCTGGGCACAAGCTCGGACAGGGGTCAGGCTGGGGAGGGCCCAACCGCCAGAGCCACTGGGGGGGGGGAGCTTGTGTGAGTGTGGGTGAGCCTGAGTGTGAACATGAGTGTGTGTGAATGAGCATGTTTGTGTGCAAGTATATGTGTGAGTGTGCGTGTTTGTGAGTGTGCATGTGAGTGCATGGTGAGAATGAGCGTGTTTGTGTGTGTGCAAGTGTGTTTGTGTGTGCATGGGTGTGGCGTGATGGGTTCCCAGAGTCCCTGTCCGAGCCCATGCCTGACTGCTGGGTTCCCCTTGCCCTGGTCACGGAGTCACGGTGCTGTGGCATCCCTGTGACCCGCTCAGCCTCCTGCTGGACAGTCAGTGCTTCTGGGTGGAGCTGGCTTGGATGCTGGAACAGGAGCTGTGCGTGTGGGGGCCCCAGGGCGCCCCTGAGCACGGCGCCCCCTGCCCCGCAAGCACCCAAACCAAGGGACAATCCTGTGTGCCTCACTTCACCTGCGCTGGAGAAATCCTGGGCACTGCAGGACATCTGAGGGCAGCTGCCTGCATGGACACAGGCACACACACACACACACACACACCCCTCCTCCTGGGAACTGCTGAGCACAGTGAGCTTGGACATGGTCGGCCAAGAGCCCGGCCTTCGGGGGCAGCCTCTGGCCCTGCGACCACCCCAAGGACATGCCCAGAGTGTCCCTCAGAAGCAGGAGCTGAGCAGGAGACCCCGTGATCTCCAGACCCGGGTGTCTGCCGGCCAGGAATGAGGTCACAGCAGGAAGTCAGGCTCATATATTCCACAGAGCCGGGCACTGGCTGGGCGCGCCTGGCCTCCGGCGCCTTTGATGGGCCCCGGGAGAGAGGCCCGCCCTGCGCTCCCCTGCCCGGCTGCTGGGCGCCTGGTAATCGCAGGGCGCAGGAATGCGGCTGGTATGTGGGCTTTATCTCCCAGTGCAGCGGGCACGACCACTGGCCTTTGTTTCAGAAGCATGTGGCCCCCAGGGCAGGCGCCCGCCCGCCCCCCGGGGAGGAACAAAGCCCCCCAGACGGTTTCCTGCGGGGAGACCTGGAAGGCCATTATCTGTCTCCTCACAGAACGGCCGGAGCAGTTCCTGAGATTCTTCTCCAATGCTTCGACTTCCCAAGGAATCCGGAAAAAATAGTTCCATGAGGGGTGTCGTCGGGGACGGGGCCGGACGAGGGCCGTGACCCCTGAGCCTGTGGAGGGGGGCTTGGTCTGGGGGGACGCTGCTGCCGTGGGGCGGAGTCTCCATTGCCCAGGGAGGCCCCCGGGGGCTTCCGGGACCACTGTCCGCCCAGCGCTGGGCCTTGCCCTTGGGCCAGTGCAGAGCTTCCCTGCTGGCACCAGGCAGAAGGGGGGTGCCTGGGGGTCCCATGGCTGGTGAGTGTTGCAGGAAGCGCGGCCGCCTCTGTGCTGCCCCATGGGCCATGCCCACGGCCCCCGCAGCATTCCCATGCCAAAAACCCATTGCTCAGACCTTCCGGAAGGTTCTGCCACGGCAGGGGAGCCAGCAGATGGCATCTGTCCAGGGGACGCCCGGATTCTCCTAGGCATGGAGCCTGGAGTTATCCGGAAACTTCCAGAAGGTCTCCCTTTGGGGTTCGCTGGATGGGGGCAGAGTGGGTGGCCACGTGGTCGGGCTCCCCTGGGAGCAGGCGCTGCCCCAAGCAGGACCCCCAGGGCGGCTTCTAGATGCCGCAGTGGGGAGGATTGGGGGTGCGGGCAGGCACGGTGTGGAATACAAAACCCACCACCCACAGCTGAAACACGTAGGTCGCTGATGCTACCGGAGGGGCTGGTTCCGTGAGTGCCCACGAGGACGAGGCCAGAGACGTCCCACGAGGAGCCTGGAGGCCCACAGGCTGTCCCGTCCCGGGGCTCTGGGCTGAGGGGGCACGCACGGGGCAGGGCTCACCCTGGGGGGGCCCGGGGCCTCCGTGCTGGAGCAGGAGCGTGGCTGGGCCCAGAGCGGGCACCTGGAGCCATGTCTCGGGGGCTCCGGTGTCCCAGGGCAGCTGTTCTCTGCCTGCCCTGCCGCGGGGTCTCTGCCTCCCTCGGGGAGAGCCCAGGGGCCCGTGACCCCGTGTTCCTGGGGTGCCATCCTTCTGCACCCCTGCGTGGCGGGTGGGGGCGGGCAGGCGGAGCCCGGGAGTGCTCAGCTCTGCTGGACGCTGGGCCTGGGCCCTGCGCGTTGATCTTCCAGCCGGCCAGAACGTGAGGAGACGGCGCCCTGGACGGGGCCACGGGCGCAGGGACACCCGAGCGGGCTGCTCTCAGCACCGAGACCACCTCAGGAGAGTTCGTGGAAAGAAGCTACAGTGCTCGGTCCCATCCCCCCCGCGACAGGCCAGAGGGAGACGGGGGGGGGGGGGGGGGGCAGGGTACAGCGGCACCTCCCCCGCGGGCTGGGCCGGCTGGGTGCTCGCGAGTCACGCCCCAGAGCCCCTGGAACCCTTCTGCTACCTCTACCCCTCTGCCCATTTGGGGCCACACCCGGCTGTGCTCAGGGCTGGCTCCTGGCTCTGTGCTCAGGCTCACTCCAGGAGGGGTTCGGGGGGGCTTCGGGAGGCCGGGACAGACCCCGACCGACTGCACACGAGGCCAGCACCTGACCCCGGAGCTGTCTCTCGGGCCCCTCGCAGGTGAGAGGACAGCGGGGTGCTCCATGGAGGACAGCCAAGGAGTAACAATGTTGCACTCAGGGTCAGGGGGCCCAGCGGCTCGGCACAGCCCTGCACGCAGCTGACCAGGGGTCCCGGGCTGCCCCGCGTGGCCCTGGGGGTCCTGGCACTACAAGGCCTGGGCAGCATGGCCGCTCCCGGCCTCACACCGAACTGCAGCCCAGGTGGCTGAGTCCCACTGGGACCCTCAGCATGGACGGGAGCCCGCAGAGCCGTGTGCACACTGAGTATGGAGCACAGGGCCGAATGAAGAAGCACGGGCTGTCTGGGGAGCACGGGGCTGAGTGGCCCCGCGGGGGCTGGACCAGACGCAGGGCAGGGACTCCCGGCCACCCCCGGGGCCTGTCCCACCCTCAGCCCCTCGACTCAGGGGCCACTGGGAAGGGCCGACATCCTTCCTGAGGG